TCAAGCCCGAAAGGCACACGTAATGCCCAGACTCAAGAATGGAGAGGAGAGCCCAGCTAGGCCTTCCCTTCATGGCCAAAAGGAAGCTATCCCCGAAGAACCCCAGCCCTAGCTCTGCCGCAAGTGAACTATGCGGCCTGGATCAGCTCCCCTCCTGGGTTCTCAGTTTCTGCATCTGTGTTATGGGGACAGTAAGCCCTGCTCTGCTATTCCATGAAGTCCCCAGAGGCTTCCAGAGACATGAGGTCTGGAAAAATAGAGATGGGATGTAGGGAGCAGCCCTTATTTTCTGAAAAGGACAAAGCCTAGTCTTACAAATTTGGAGTCACAGTTACCTAGTGGATTTACTGCCAGATTGTCCCATCTTGGTCATTGCCAGGACACGTGACTTCTAGGAAGCTACCAGTCTTTGTGTATAGCTTACCTAGATATGGCTCTTTTCCATTTCTCAAAGCCTTTTATCATCTGTGGCTTTCCACAGTGACCCTGGGAGGCAGGCAGTGCAGGAACTGTTAACCCCATTTCACAGCCAAGAAAATCAACATCTGGAAAGCTAAATGACCTCCCAAGGCCACTCAGCAAGCTGGCAACAGAACCAGGATGAAGACCCCTGGATTCTCAGCCCAGGGATCTCACCCACTACTGAGGGCCCTCCAAGTGGGCCACTGAGGCCTCATATTTGCACTCTAGAAAATGGGAAGAGTTGTGAGGGCCCACCCTCGGCAGGCTGGTGGGGTGTTTTCTAGAAGACACATGGGGATAGCCGTTGTAGAAGATGACCATGATTTTTCTAATCGAGAACATGCTGTGCCTGATTGTCTCAGAGGCACTCTGCAAGGTGCTCCTCAAAGGCACTCTTTCCAGAAAGTACCCACCACATGGCAGTGCTTCCCAGGAGGCAGCGTCCCTCAGGAATACTTGCTCATAATCAGGTTGTCCTTGAAAAATGGAGCAGAAAGTTTGGATCCCAAGCCTCCCTTACTGTTCTCTCTCTCCATCTCTCTCCATCTATCTCTCTGTCTCTGTCTCTCTTTTGCTGGAAAGAATGGAGCAGCCTTGACCACACAATCACTTGTCTTACTGTTCTCTCTCTCCATCTCTCTCCATCTATCTCTCTGTCTCTGTCTCTGTCTCTCTTTTGCTGGAAAGAATGGAGCAGCCTTGACCACACAATCACTTGCAGAATTAAGTAGCCAAAAATCATGTCGTCTAGACAAACATATTTTATGGGTCCAATTAATTCCTGCCAGTCAAAAATAGGCATGCTTAATAAGGGGATATATTTAGAATATGTCATTATCTGGCTCCCCAGGGGAGAAACCTCAGCTCTGATTTCATGGACTTAATTTCAAACAGAGCTCTGGTAGCTCCCACTTCAGACCTGGCTTTCTTTCTGGACAGTCCCGAAGTTGGTGGGGGAAGGGCAGGGCAGGGCAGGGGGAGCATTTGACTACAAGAAGCCACTTAAGTCCTGTGTGGCCTGAGCCTCCCAGCCCATCTTCTCTTGGCCATCTGAAGTCAGAAAACAAGGGGTGGCTTCCTCTTTGGGCTCTGTTGTCAGGTGGCAGGAAGCCTCTGGCAGTGCAGTTAAAGGGCTCTGGCGAGTCTCCTTGCTCCCAAATGTCTCACCTGTCCCTGTGCCCCAAATTCCACCATCATCAAGTCTTTATCCCTTGGGATCTGGAAGCCTTCCAGGGCTGTTGTGAGCTGTGGCAACCCTACCCCCACCCCCATGACAGACCAATGTCCCTGGGAAGGGTAACTGTTCTTGAGTCACTGAAAGCTATTAAGGCCTGGGCAGAGAGCTGGGTTGACACCCAAGACCTAGAGGGTTCTGGGTACACCAGAGGCGTGCAGAGTGGGCACTGAAGGGGTTCACTTGAGGTCAGCCCTGATGGTGCTGCCCTATGGTGGGCGGGAGATGAGGCATGGAGGGGCTGTGGAGAGCTCTAAGGAGAGTATCGGAGGGCCTCCAGTCTGAGCGGGAGTT